AGAGTTTTCAAAGTCCAAAAACAGCGAAGAAAGAGGCATCCGAGGAAGTGATCGAGACTACCATAAAAAGTATGATAGAGGAGATTCCAGAAAAAATTAAAAATTTTTGTCAAAAGTAGTTTTTAAGAATTTTTTAAAATATAGTTTTAATTGTAATTAAAAGATGTTTCTAAAATGGGTTTGCTTTTGAAAATCGGTCAAGTGGTTTGGAGGATATGTGAGTTTTTGTGTGGGAAGGTTTTTTTCTTGGACAGTCCTTATTATATGAAATGTAGAGTGGCGTTGTTTGAATTAAAAAACCAAGAAATCCCTCAAACAATCTCACTACGAATATCTACGAAAAATTAAAAATTTCTAAGATCTTGTCTCAATCTATGTAACTTTTCTGTACTTTTTCGTAAACTTTTTTTTTCGTCAGGATCATATTCAATTATGTCATTGTAGTAATTGTTTTCAATGGTAAACGTATCGACATCCTTATAGAAATTTAATATAAATATATATAAATTGGACTATAATTTTTAATTATTTATTTAGAATATTAAAAAGCACTATTATTCAGTGTTTTTAATATTTAATAAGTAATTTCCAGAATTAAATTGGCTAGTATAGTAAATTGGATTTTTGTAAGGGCAATATCCAAATCTACAAGATCAATAGCGCGCTACTCTCCTTGACGTAGACTTTACGCTTTCAAAAGAATATTATCGTGAATATCTACGTTCATTCCTTATACAACGGATTCAAGGTAACCCGGATATAAAACATTTCGTGCCTAACGAGTTCCACTATATAATTACAGCAATGACAAGAATTACAAGTTTTGTTAACATGAGATTTTTTTACGAAAAATGCATATGACGATAAAAAAATTTTCTACCATATTCAATTCGTTATGTTATAATAATTCATCGACAATAAAGTTATAAAAATTCATAGACAATAATGAAGATATTATAGATAAAATACACCTTACACCGCTTCGATGACGTAATTAGATAAACGATATATTTAATCGGTTTTTAAAAAGATTATAGGTATGATATAACTAGAAAAGAATGAAAGAAAATAATGAATTCTTGCTAATTGTTCGCAGACGGAATGATTATCCTTTAAATATATGACACTTTTATTCCGTTTCTAAAACAATTTCTGTAATTCGTTTCTTAAAAAGAGAAGAAAAAAATTTTAAATAAAATTAAACTTGACAAATAACTTTGCGGTTTGTAAGCGGTTCGTTCTTTGTAATGATACATGTCATGAAAAGATCATCTATTCTGAACTCTTGGACTTGTCAGCGGACTATTCTGATGTGCGGTCATAAAATATAATTGTAACCAAGGTTTCAACCAATGCATTGTGCATCTTTCCGCACGTATATTTCCGGTTACACAAGGAACATCCGGATAATCATAGCGTGCATGTGCCTTCCGTGCTCAAAACCTATAATTGTGTTTACCTTATGCTTAGTTACCAAGCCGCTACAATTTATTCAAAATTCAATAAACAACATTTGAATATTTGCCAGTATAAAGACGCACGTATTCATATACTCACTTATCTTTATATTTCGTACATTTTTATAGTTTCATGTACGTTTTGCGATATACACGCATACGCGCGCGCACACACATTAGCGACAGTCATCTCGATACTTCATCCACTCGCAATTAATTGAAGGCAATCCCCATTGTCAATGTCTGCCGATCGATGATCAGCATCCACTAAGAAGACCTTGAATTCCAGCGACACCTTCTACCGGCGCGAGCGACGATGGTGCAGTGCTGAGTCAAGTCATGATCGGATATACGTGGAAAACCACTTGGCTGATTCAGTCGTAGGATAGCGCACACGTTGGATTCTACACATTTAAATATATATTCATATATACAAAGAGAATATACACAAACATATATATTAATATGTAGAGAGAGGGGAGAGAACCGTGTCCACGCATATGACACACGCACATGTGGGCACACTTCACTCTCTTACGTTCATTCATAAAAATTTCAACCTTCGTGGAAGTTGACTTGTCTGGAATTACGAAATTTGTGACTGAGCACTGATTCATCTCATTTACATTCAACCGGAAGGAAGGAAGTGTAATGGCCACAAAATTAAACGTTAATATTTATCCTATTTATATGGTGAAATACCACTCATAGGCTTAGGAAAATAAGTTCTTATCAATGAGAGATATGATTATGGAAATTCCCATTTCTCTCTCTTTCTCTGTCTTTCTCTTAATCTTCTCCTCGGTCAATTCTCTGTGATTGGAGCATCAGCTAGATTTTCTTCATTTGTATTCTTTCTTTGAATTATTTCGTTTTATTTTACTAGTAATTGTTATCTTTATATTCTTTTTAGTTTTCTCTCTATTTTTTATTATTTCTCTATTTTTATATATAGAAGCAATATTCTTTATAATGATAGTCTTTTTTATGTTCGTGGCATTGCAAATTTGAAAGCTTATTGCGTTTGAGAGGATATTATCTCAGAATGCAAAATAACAATTCATTCGTTTTTTCTTCACACACACACACACACACACACACACACGCGCGCGCGCGCATACACGTTATGTATTTTTTTTCCGCTACAAAATTTAATAACGAATTTTTATTAATGTAAACATTGATGAAAAATTGATTGATGAAAAATTGTATTGTGATATAACGATTATACTGCATTTATAATACGACAAAAATAGTTATTATGACTATTAATTTCAAAATATATGTTTACAAAAGTCGAATTTTTGTCATAATGTATGAATCAGCATTCCAAGGCTATGCTCGGAAACTTTGCTATCAAGGGATGCATCGGATTACTATTGCGAAAATATTCGAATGAATGTACCCTTTATGCGTTTTTCTCTTTGCAAAGGCATGACTCACTTTGCAACTTCGCAATTACACAGATCACCTTTTATTGCCGATCCAGTTTTTTTTTAGAATAACAAAGTTCAATCAAAGTTTTATTTTTAAATAATTTTTACTTCACTCGAGATAAAGTACTATAATTAATCACAGCAAATCATATCTTTCCTTAAAGATTCTTGGCGCGTAATTCGGAAATAAAGTAAAAGTTTATTCTCAATAATACATGACGCGAATATAACGCATAAGAAGATAAACATGTAAATCTCCCGTCTTCCTTCGTATAATTTAGCAATACGTGATATCCTGTGATCGTGCGATTTACCGATAGAATATTAATCAGGATATAAGTGTGCATAAGTGTTGTTAAATAACAGTAAATTCCGTAGTCGGTTAGGTCAGTCTCCTCGGTCATTGCTGCTTGTCTAATTCGCCTAAATCTAGAAACATGAGGTACTTCGATAATTCTCGCGTGACTTACGTCGGACTCCTTTGCGCAATAGTAATTTGCGACGATTGTCAGATTCTTTGCTCGAGTGTTCTCGACATCATATAAAAGTTCTCTTACATAAGTACTACAATTTTCATTTTAACAATCTCAAAAATACAAAACCAACTAGAACCAATATTAGGTGCTCTGCGAATTCAAATTCTTTTTAAATAACAAATTAATTAGACGTTTCGATTTCTCCCTTTTGAATAAAGAGAATGATAATGCCAATTTCCTTTGCTGATTCAATCTTTAGAGCCTTTTTTTCAATTTTAAATTTTTAATTATTGTTCAATAATTAACAAAAATAAAAATGTCCGAAATTCTATTGGCGTTTGCCTTTTATTATTCTTGTTTTAACAATCTCCTCTTGATTTTTTTTTAAATTTATTTTTTAATTAAAATTTTTTTAAAATTTAATGTTATTCGAATATATCCTTATGTTTTCTTTAAATATCTGTTAAATATCTCGAATTTGTGTGTAACAAATGCACGTAAGAATTAAGAATACGTACTTTCGTGCAGTGACCCGAGGGTAAGAACAAAATCAATACGGTTCGGAGGTAACTCCGAAAGAATGCACGCGAAGGCAAATTGATTGGCCAACCCTCCACGCAACGGTATTATCCTACTACATTAGAAACGATTGCTTGTCAAGATCGCCATTTTACGTGAATCTAGAACGCGTGAGAGGAGTAGACAGCGCTTTCCGCCCAATATAAAGGGATGAGTCATTCTTAAAGAGGTAATTTGCACTTCGAACGTAACGTCATCCGAATTGGCTCTAATGATGATCTTCTGCGGGTCGTATCATTCTTGCGACACGCGCTTCTTCTTGTGCGAGAAGAGCACGTCTTGTATAACATTGGATCAGTATATTTTAAATGAATTAGAAATATGTCACGTATAATTAGCATTCGCACGTTATCAAACGATAAGCGATGAGTGTATTGGTAAAAATCGAAGACTTGGGCACAAAATTGTACGACGGTGCGACAGGGACATTTTCCTGCGCATAATTATACGCAAACGATCGAAATAGGACTGACAAACAATTACCGGAGGACGTCGATAAATTTACACGCGGATAAGGAAAGGTCTCCTATATGTAGTTATTCACTTTCGTAGAACAAAGCTCGTAAAACAACGTCAATGTTACATTATGATACCAAACTTAAAAACTAGTTCTTTCTGGAATGATACGAAAACTTTTTGTCTGCAAAATAAAATTGTTGGTTTCGCGACAAAATATCTTAATTTCGAATCAATAAGAAAATAACGATACTTGGTTCACCAAAATATTGAGAAAACTATTCGAATGTGATCTTACGGATTCTTCAAATTCAAGTAAAATATGGATCACAAAGGGCAAGTGAAAATACAACGTTGTCGACGGTATGCAAAATAATAAATTACAAATGCTTATTATTCCCTTATTCCATCAGTTAATATAATTAATACGTTTCGACTCACTTTGGAATTCTCCTCAACAAATACAGACTCAATAATCTTCCTTTGGATGTTTGAGTACTATCAAATTTACAGATTTACAAATTGAGAAAAGTTGAATGATATCTATGTATAAGATGTACATACGTCGCATTAAAGAGTGTTTTTAAAAATTACAGAATTACCTAGCGCAATACGGATATTTGCCGCCGATAAATCCGGAAAATGGTGCTTTTTTAAGCGAGGATAAGCTAACGGCAGCGATAGAAGAATTCCAAGCATTCGCTGGTCTTAATA